CTTGCAATTTTTTTATGTAACACGGTATTTGAACAGCGATTTTTCAAACACAATTTTTTGGGTAAAAATACACTTTAATGAATTTTAATGCAAAAAAACCATATCATAACCCATTTTTTTAACACCTTCCCACCCGGCTTATAGCAGATTGATGGTCGGGTGGGACACTCCTTCTTCTGAATGGGTGTCATATGACGTCCTGTCAGAAGGAGGTGCTCACGCGGCTGCGGGGCCACGCAGCTGCAAAATCTCTCACCGGCTGTGTCCAATACAGCCCATGATCACTACACCGGCCCACTGCCAGTGTCATGTGACCACTGTGACCAATCATGCAGAGCACATGATAATTGTATACAATGGATGGCTTCCTGTCATGCCATCCATTGTATACAATTGTGTTGTTAGCTGTGTTGGTCAAAGCCGTCACATGGTACAGACAGGACCAATCACAGCCCATTTGTATCATGTGAGGAGCTTTGCCCAATCACAGCTAGTCACAACAAAAGACTGAATGAATCAGTTTCATTCAGTAACAATGATTGCAAATATCAATGAAATATATTGGCATTAGCAATCATAATGTGTAAAAAAAAATTTTTTTTTAAATCCTGATCACTTGCCCAGAGTAGTTCAATGTTACTATAGTAACATTGTATTGCTTTGGTCACAGTGTGTTGAAAATAAAAATTGTAAAAAAATAATAGAACATTTTTAAAACAAAATAAAAATTTAATTATTATTATTTTTTTAATTTTTTTACATACTGACACCTATCAGTGTCCCTGATCACCACCACACAAGTTATGTAATAATGCTGTACTGGATTGGTGACAATATGTAAACAAAAAAATAAAAATTGTGATTTTTTTTTTTTAATTTCTACATTTTCTCGCTAAATACCTTGGACTGTCTATTTTCCAAAAAATGGGTAATTTGGGGGGTATTTGTACTACACTGGCATTTTCGGGCCTCAAGAAATGAGATGGGCCGTCAGTACATCAGGACTGATCGATTGTCAGATATATATACCATAGTTTGTGGACTCTATAACTTTCCTACAGACTAAATACTATACATTAATTTGGGGTATTTTCACCAAAGAAATGTAGCAGAATACATTTTGACCTGAATTTATGAAGAAATGTAATTTATTTGCCAAATTTTATAACAGAAACAAAGAAAAAACGTGTTTTTTTTCAAAAGTTTATTTAGGAAAAAAATAAAAAACTCAGTGGTGATTAAATACCACCAACAGAAAGCCCTATTTGTGTGAAAAAAATGATAACTTTTTTTATGGTTACAGTGTTGCATGACCACACAATTGTCATTCAAAGTGCGACAACACAAAAGCTGAAAATTGGCCTGGGCAGGAAGGGGGTAAAAGTGCCTGGTATTGAAGTGGTTAAATATAAAAGGTGATCTTTATGCTGAGTAAATAGATCCCTAACATGTCAAGCTTTAAAATTGTGCATGCTCGTGGAATGTCGCTAAACTATGGTACTTAAAAAGTGACACCTTAAAAATGTTTACAGGTTACCAGTTTAGAGTTACAGAGGAGGTCTAGCACTAGAATGATTGCTCTTGCTATAACATTCACATCAATATCTCACATGTGTGGTGTGAACATCGTTTACATATACAGGCGCAACCTATGTATGCTTTCACATCTGTGTGCAAGCACTAGGGGACGGGGGGCGCTTTTTATTTATCTATATTTTTTACACTGTCCCTTTAATTAAAATTTTTTTCTTAATCACTTTTATTTTGCATGTGTTTTTGACACGTGTTTGATGTGTTTTTTTTCTTGTTGCTAGGCAGATTTAACCACATGCCGCCCAGCCACTGTAGAAATACGGCGGCAGGGCGGCATGGCTCGGCAAAACCACGTTTTAAAACGTGTGTTTTGTAAACAGGTAGGGGGCGCGCGCGCGAGGCGTGCCACCGCCCTACCTGTCCCGCCAATCCGAGCCGCGGATGTCAGTCGCCGGGTCACAGCCGGTCATTACCGGCTATGTCCCGGCGATCGGCGGCAATCGCTGACAGAGAGCACAGCTGCAGTAGCTGTGCTTTCTGTCAGTTCCCTGACAGCTCCAGGACAAGCTGATCGGGACAGAAGAGTTTCTCTCTCCCGATCAGCGGTGTCCTGTGCAGTACACACCCCCGCCCCCCTAGTAAAACACTCTCCTCACACTGTTAACCCTTTCCCTGAAAAATAAACTTAACCCCTTCCTCCCCAGTGCCATTAGTACAGTGTCAGTGTTTTTTTTTTTTTTTTGCACTGATCACTGTATTGGTGTCACTGGGGATGTCAGTGACCCCAAGTCAGTTCCCTCCCAGTGTCAGAATGTCCGCCGCAGTCCCGCCATAAGTCGCTGATCGCCGCCATATGTCACTGATTACCGCAATAAGTCGCTGATCACCGCCATTATTAGTATAAAAAAAAACTAAAAATCCCAGTATCTTTCCCGCCATTTGTAAACGCTATAACTTTCACGTAAACCAATTAATTTACACGTATTGGGGTTTTTTTTTAGCAAAGACATGTCACAGAATGCATTTTGGCAGAAATTTATGACTAAATTTGATTTTTTAATTTTTTTTTACTGGACATGTTTTATAGCAAAAAGTCCAAAATATTGTTTTTTTTTTCCTCAAAATTGTCAGCCTTTCTTTTTATACCGCAAAAAATAAAAACCGCACAGGCGATCAAATACCACCGAAAGAAAGCTCAATTTGTGGGAAAAAAGGATGTAAATTTCATTTATGTACCTTATTGCATGACCGCGCAATTGTCCGTTAAACTAGCGCAGCGCTGTATAGCAAAAAAATGGCGTAAATTGCAGTATTTATACCATAGTTTGTATAACTTTCACACAAAGCAATCAATATACACTTATTGGGATTTTTTTACCAAAAACATGTAGCAGAATACATTTTGGCCTAAATTTATAACCAACTTTGAGTTTACTATATATTTTTTATAGCTGACATTAAAAAATATTGTTTTTCTTCAAAATTTTTGGCCTTTTTTTGTTTATAGCGTAAAAAATAAAAAGCACACAGGTGATCAAATACCACCGAAAGAAAGCTCTATTTGTGTGAAAAAAAGGACATAAATTTTGTTTGGGTGCAGCATTGCATGACCGCGCAATTATCAGTTGAATTAGTGCAGCGCCGAGTAGCAAAAAGAGGCCTGGTCATTAAGGGGGGGGTAAATCCTCTGGAGGTCAAGTGGTTAAAACACAAAACGCATAAAAAATGTGGCAAATTGCCATGTACTTCCTATAGCTAATCATTGCCCACCTCAACAGTGATATATACTGTAACTTTGTTCAAGTGAAAGGGTCCTTTCACATGGACTAGACCCGTTTAGCGGATACGCTTTCTCAGCAGGGGATCTGTCCGCTGATCCCCGCTGAGCAAGCGGATGATAGGTCTGTGTCTGCTGTACTGCTGCAGAGCGGACACAGAGCTGCTCACTCTCCTCAATGGGTGGGTCGAATGAAAATGAACCACTTGTCTGTTTCCATCTGACCTGATCCGACAGATGGAAGGGGTATTGAACCCCCATCCATCTCTTTATTGCGGATCGGATTGGATGTCAGCGGGTGTAAACGGACACATGTCCGTATGAACCCGCCGCTCCATAGAGGAGAATGGAGGTTCCGATCGGGTCTGCCTGAAAAACGGGCAGGCAGACCCGATCGGAACGTCCATCTGAAAGAGGCCAAAGGCAAAAGATTTTAATTTAGTTTCGATTTTGAAACACTGGAAGGTCACCTGGTATGAAGTTCAATCGACCTCACAACTTATCTTATTTAACTGAGATACTGTTAATATTAAATTATAGCAGAAAAATCGATAGTTCCAAAATATTGGAACCAACCCAGGGCTCCGAGTGTACGGGGGAATTCACACTGGAATGCAGATCTGCCAGAGCAAAGTACTGCTCTGTCAGGTCTCCATTCCAGGCTGCGGTAGGGGGCATGGTGGTGTGCGATTCAGCGCATCACACGGCTGCCGTTTTTGTTATTTTGTACAAACTTTATTTGAAGTGTACAAAATGTAAACTTTCATGACAATGTACGCCTGCATGATGCACTGCACTGCCATACATTGCCATGCGATTCTGCATGGTGCACTGTGCTAAAATGTATTTTATTGCAGCACGCTGTAGCACAGCCATAGGCAGCATTGCAGTATAAATGGGACACACAGCAAAAACTGCGGTGACAGACATTTTACAATTCAGAAAACACTCTGTCTCTGCACATAGTGTGAATTAGCCCTGAGAGAATGTGTTGAAGAAATTACCACAATTAAATCTTTTGAAAGAAAAAGTCTCAGTTTTAATTCTAAATTCCTTTTATTTCAATGTATTCGGATTCCATAGTTTCAAATCAAACAGACAAATATATATAAACAATTACTGCAGGCTCCGTGCACACGGGGCGTTTTAATAACTCTGGTAACGTTAGCTGTGTAAAGTCACGTAAAAAATGTGAGCGTTTAAGCACTTTTGCATTAGCGTTTAGCAGCATTTTTTCGCGTTTGCATTTTTTTTTGCTAAAAAAAAGTCCAAAAACGCTGCTTTGCTGCGTTTTACTGCATTTTTCAGTGTTAGTGTTTTTACAGCCAAAAAACTCCTCTAAAAACCCACTACTTCTTGGGTTTTTTGCAGCCAAAAACATTGATTAGAAAAAACATTGATTACAGTCTATGTGTGCATGGACACATAGGATAACATGCTGGGGAGTGTACTGGCTGTAGAAAAAAACACCAAAAGCCAAAAACAGCCGCTGTAAAAACGTCTCGTGTGCATGAGGACTTAGTGCTCATGTACACGGGGCATTTGGAAAACTCTTCTGAACAATGGAAACTAACTGCTGGAAAACACAGGTTAAAAAACTTCAGTTTAGCCGTGTTTGCATACCGCGTGTATGTGTGTTTGCATTTAGAAGTGTTTTTAAAAGATAACCTCAGGACAGGGGCGGACTGACAACTCATGGGGCAATAGGGGATCATGGGGCCCCTGTGTCCTTGCCCAAAGGTACCAGGGGCATCTCATGGGGCCCCCTAATGACCCCGGGCCCTTGGGCAGTTCCCGAGTTTCCAAATGGTCAGTCCGCCCCTGCCTCAGGAGACCTTCCCAAATGCCCAGAATGCACTGAAAAATAGTAAAAAAATTAACTAATTCAGACATTTTGAGAGGAATAGAGAGAGCAGAAGCAGAGAGAGCAGTATGTGTTGAGATGACCGGTCTTTTCTGGTTGTATTCATTATGGATCCCATCATGAGCATAATGCGGCACGTTGTACCATTTTTTCCTTCACACGATACCTGGAACTGACTGCGCTGGTGTACCGGGTACATTTGAATACATGGAAAACGCTTTGCATGCATTTCTGATGATGAAAAAAGGCTCAAAAAACACTTCTAAACAGAAATGCTTATAAACGTGGTTAAGCACGTTTACACTCGTTTACAAGCGTTTGAAACACCCGTAAAATCTACTAATGAATGCTAGTTTGGTGCATTCAAAAAAAGACTGTAAACGACTGCAAACGAAATAGTGTTCATGAACACATAGGATAAAATTAGGGAGAGTTCAGGGGCTGCTGAAAAAACACAGAAAAGCTCCTGAACATCAGTTTAGGAGCTGCAGTGTACATGAGCCCTTAGTTTTGTACTCCTTTTGGATGTCTGGCTAGAGAGATCATCACAGTATTCACATGCAAGCTTAATACTCATTTGTTGATTGAGTTGATATCTTTTGTTTATTCTGTATTTGTATTTGTGTTACCTTTAAGACATGTTTGTCTATTTTCAGTGTGATAACTCATCTGTATCACTTGTATTCTTCAGCTGCTGAAACGTTCATGATGACTGTTATCTATGTATGTCTAAAATTGTTAAGCTGACTCTCCAAATGCTCTATTTAGAAATTAAAGAATCCTTGCCAATGCTTACCAGATTCTAAGCTCTGCCACATTCCAGAATTGCAACAGTAGATGCAATTGGTTTAATAAAACAGCAGCAGCTAATTTGGCAGTCAAACCCAGTGAGTGTCAGATAGACTTGACAGACGTCCAGTACATGGGACACCAGGTAGGAGGAGGCACTCTGAGATCTGAGATGGGGAAGGTTGAGGACTTCTTGGCCTGGCCTACCCCTCATACCAAGAAGCAGATTATGTCATACTTGGTGACAGATGGCTACTATAGGAAATGTGTGTGCAACTACAGTATCTTGGCTAAACCATTGACTGAACTAACCAAACAGAAAGTACCTAAGCACTTTCCTGGACATGAAAGTGTGAGAATGTCTTCCACCTCTTGAAGGAAGCACTGACTGTGCTCCTGTAATACAGGCTTCAGATTTCAAACATTAGTTTCTGGTATAAAGCGATGCTTTTGCCTATGGTTTAGGAGAGGTCCTGAGCCAGGTTGATCGGTTAGGAGAGGAATACCCCATCCTCTACCTGAGTAGGAAGCGACTCTCCATCAGAAGGAGTGTTTTGCCATAAGCGCCGCAGAAACTGCCACATTACCTATATTGTTGCAGCTTTGCAGAGATCACCACCCGCAATCCACTCAGATGGTTAAACTATGTTGCGGGGGGGGGGGGGGGGGCAAGCTACTCTGTTGTAGCTTTATTCTCCAGCAATCACAAAACACAAGAAGGAAAGTATCCACATCAAAACAGACAGGCTGTCCCAGCGAGCAGAGCCAGCAAAGGTTGGTTACTTTGGGAAGGAACTTGCAATACCTTCCATGTGACATTATGATGAGGGAAGATGTCACGATAATGAGGTTCAATGAACCCCAAACTGCGTTGGGAGAAAGGAAAAGTGGTGCATAAGGCGATGCTATCTTAATTTCTCCCAAAATTTGTCATTTGTCAATGACAAAACAGAGCCATCATAAATTTCATTAAAACATTCCAGTTGAAGCACCTTTTTACAGGACATAGGCCCAGGGTCCTTAAATCCCAATATCAGGATGTCCCCTACGCCAGTACCTGCTAATAGTGGTTGTAAACCTCCATTAATTTAAAGCTTCCTTGTGTAATCACATTATAAAATGCCCCTGTCTAGTATGTGGTGCCACAAAACATATCTGTGACTCTAGTTTTGGAACAGTCAAATTTTATACAATTTCAATAATTACAGCTATAATGGGTTTATTTTCAGAAAACAGGCTACACTAATGTATAACAAAATGCTAAAATGTACAGCAGGTATGTTGGTCACAGTATATCTCCTAAGAATTACATGCTTGCAATATATATGTTTGGTCTTTATCAAATTGTAATCTTATTCTGCTCATTAATATGCTGGTTGTTAAAAAAAGTGTCGTCATTTGGAAATATGGGTATAGTTAGAATAACTGGCATTTGAGGGTGTCCATTGAAGTATAATAAAATACTTCAGCACTCCTACATTACACCCCTCAGCTCTTTTTATTGGGTGGGGGTTAGATCAGCAACACCCTCAAGAGGGATGACAAAAAGCTGCTGGATTAATTAAGGAATGCTGAGTCATTTATGAGAGGTGGTGACTCTCTACAAACAAATTACTCTGCACAAGACCCAATGACCAGGTGAAATTTGCTAAGTATGTTTCACTTTTAATCCCATTTATTTATTATTGTCAAATATTTTTGTGCACCATTTTCTTTTCATTAAAACAATATTTTAAAATGATTAAGATGACTCTCTAAATGCCCTAGTAGTATCTCAAAGTTACATAATTAGTCTGGCTGAAAAAAGACCAAAGTCCATCCAGTTCAACCAAAAAAAACGTTATAATCCTATACCCACAGTTGATCCAGAGGAAGGCAAAAAAACCCAGCAAAGCTGGATCAACTTTACCTATAAATGTTAGTAACAGGGGCGGACTGACCTTTGGGGAACTCGGGCACTGCCCGAGGGCCCGGGGTCAGTAGGGGGCCCCATGAGATGTCCCTGGTACCTTTCATAGGCTTTTTTGGGTGTGGTTTGAGTGTGGGCGAGGACACAGGGGCCCCATGATCCCCTATTGCCCGGGGGCCCCATGAGTTGTTAGTCCACCTCTGGTTAGTATTTAGTTATATTATGTGTATCTAGGAAAGAATCCAGGCCCTTTTTAAAGCAATACTGAGGTGGCCAGAACCAACTCTTGATGGAGTTTATTCCACATTTTCACAGCTCTTACTGTGAAGAAACCTTTCCGTATTTGGAGATTAAATCTCCAGATGTAAAGAGTGCCCCCTTGTCCTCTGTGATGACCTCAAGGTTAATAACGCTACACCAAGTTCACTATATGTATAAATAGTTCACTATTTATACATGTTGATCATATCCCTCCTTAATCTCCTCTTCTCAAGAGAGAATAAATTCAGTTCCTCTAAACTTTCCTCATAGCTGAACTCCTCCATGCCTCTTATCAGTTTGGTTGCTCTTCTCTGCACTTTCTCCAGTTCCCCAATGTTCTTTTTGTGAATTGGTGCCCAAAACTGAACTGCATATTCCAGATGAGGTCTTACTAATGATGTGTACAGGGGTAATATGATATCTCTCTCTGGAGTCTATACCTCTTTTAATACAAGAGAGGATTTTGCTCGCTTTAGAAACCGCAGCTTGGCATTGCATGCCATTATTAAGCTTGTGATCTACCAGAACCCCCAGATCCTTCTCCACCATTGATTCCCCCAGTTGTACCCCCCCTAGTATGTATGATGCATGCATATTCTTAGCCCCCAAGTGCACAATCTTACATTTATGAACATTAAACCTCATTTGCCACATAGTTGTCCAATTAAACAGTGCATTGAGGTCGACTTGTAAATTGGAGACATCCTGTAAGGACGTTATTCCACTGCACAGCTTGTTGTCATCTGCAAAGAATGAAATGGTATTTATAATCCCAGACCCTATATCATTTATAAATATATTAAAAAGTAAGGGTCCCAACACTGAACCTTGGGGTATACCACTGACAACCCTAGACCATTCAGAGTATGAATCATTAACCACTACTCTCTGAATACCATCTTTTAGCCAATTTTCTATCCATTTACTTACGGATTTTTCCAAGCCTGCAGACTTTACCTTACACAGTATCGTTGCCTCTTTGTTGAAAGCTAACATACTCTAAACTTTGTCACTTTCATGTCTGATGTGGTGGCGAGTGCTGGACATTTTCTAAAGGTCAGTATTGTTACAAGAAATGCTGTGACTGGTATTGATTTTGTTAAAACATGCTACATATTGTTTGGCATGATGTCACCTGATGGCTTCCATTGTACTATCCATTTTCAAGTTGGAGAGAGCTCCCTCCCATTAGATGCAGCAAACCTCTCACAGAGCAATCCCATTAAATCTCAGTCTTGAGTAACTTCCAGTTAAACCAATTGGATTGGTGAAATAAAAAATATTAATGCCTATCCCTTTGTGAATCCTCTCTTCCCCAAGGTTACCAATTTCCTCTCCTTCTCTCACTCTCTCCTTCAACCTCTATTCAGTATTAGTTGCCACCCCACACACTTTAAGCCACTTACAGGCTGTACTTCTCTGATAAAATATTTTCCAAGTCATGTTCTATTGATTGTCATGTTTTTGTGGAAACTAAATAGAAAAAAATATATGTAGGCTCAGCTACTGTATGTACTTCACTGTATGCAACATCAAAAACAATTGTACCATCAGTACTGTACCAACTATACAGTAATCCTAAGAAACCAATAAGCCCTACGGGAAGCTGGAAAACTCATGTTTGGACCCTTTGACCTCATGGGTTTGGGAACAATTGTCCATGCAGTACCTGCCTTAAGGAAAAATCTAGCACTGTCCAAATAACACCCGACACTAAATATTTTCTCATAAACTCAATGACTATGGAAAGATTTCCTTGAAAGAAAGCAATGCAACACCAATAGTTGACCATGCAGTCGATCTATATTATTTTACATCATTCCAGACTGAAATACTTTAAGAATAGAAGATTAAAATACGTTGAGAATTAAAGGAACTTTCTCTCTAGGAAAGCACCTGATTCTTTACCGGATTTATCATTTACATATATAATGGTGCATTACTCTTTTGTGAATTCTACGGGTAACGTAATCGCTGTTAAAACTCTTGGAATATGCTCAAAAGATCCGATTACAAACACTTTAATTATTTCTGGCAAATGAACGCAGACCATGTGTTGTTTTGCAAGCGAACACGTTAGCTGGTAAACTGAAATCTGAAGAGCTTGAACACGGTCCAGCTGTGACATGCAAATCATTGGTGAGGTTATATGTAATCATTCAGAAACTAAAAACTCATGTACATCATTAGAGAAGCATTTTCATTGTTTCTGTGTGGAGGTCAAGGTTTATGGAAAGAGGCCTGCTTGAGCAGAACTAAAGAAACTAATGTGGTGCCTTCATATGTATAAGATGAGCATAGGAATTAGAAAGTGAGAGTGTGCAACCATGAACATGCTGAGTTCCTCTATCTATGGAAAACTACTAAGAGTGTTTATAGTTGCCTAAAGACTTACTGATGCAAGAAGTAATCTGCCGTGAGTAATCCAATGTTAAAGGGGAACTATGCCCTAAAAAGGCAGGCAGAGGACTAGTCACCAATATAACCTGTGGTCTCTTGGTGGCAAAACCTTTTACTATAACTGGTTTACCATGTTTTGTTCTGCATTTTGTCGCTGCATGTCGCGGCCATATTAGTAGAGCTAGGCTTTTGCTTCCTTGTGTCATAGCCTCCAGCCAAGAGAATTGGCTGTTAAATTATACCATTGACATGATTTTATTATACAGTGAAGGAAATAAGTTTTTGATTTCCTACTGATTTTGAATGTTTTCCCACTCACAAAGAAATGATCAGTCTAAAAATCGAATGGTAGGTGTATTGTAACACAGAGACAGAATAGCAACAAAAAATTCAAAAGAAATGCATGTCTAACAAATTATGCACTGATTTGCATGTTCATGAGAGAAATAAGTATTTGATCCCCTTCACAAAACATGACTTAGTACTTGGTGGCAAATCCCTTGTTGGCAATCACAGAGGTCAGACGTTTCCTGTAGTTGGCCAACAGGTTTGCACACCTCAGGAGGGATTTTGGCCCACTCCTCTTGGCAGATCCTCTCCAAGTCAATAAGGCTTGGTGATGGTTTTGGCAACTTGAACTTTCAGCTCCCTCCACAGATTTTCAATCGGATTAAAGTCTGGAAACAGGGTAGGCCACTCCAGGACCTTAATGTGCTTCTTCTTGAGCCACTCCTTTGTTGCCTTGGCCATGTGTTTTTGGGTTATTGTCATGCTGGAACACCCATCCACGACCCATTTTCAATGCCCTAGCTGAGGGAAAAAGGTTCTCACCCAAGATTTGATGGCACATTGCCCCATCCATTGTCCCTTTGATGCGGTGCAGTTGTCCTGTCCCCTTAGCAGAAAAATACCCCCAAAGCAGAATGTTTCCACCACCATGTTTGGCAGTTGGGATGGTGTTCTTGGGGTGATAGGCAGCATTCTTCCTCCTCCAAACATGGCAAGTTGAGTTAATGCCAAAGAGCTCAATTTTGGTCTCATCTGACCACAACATTTTCAACCAGTCCTCTTCTGCATCATTCAGATGTTCAGTGGCAAACTTCAGACGGATCTGGACATGTGCTTTCTTGAGCAGAGGAACCTTGCGGGCACTGCAGGATTTCAATCCTTGTCGGCGTAGTGTGTTACCAATTGTTTTCTTGGTGACTGTGGTCCCAGCTGCCTGGAGATCATTGAGAAGATCCTCACGTGTGGTACTGGGATGATTCCTCACTGTTCTCATGATCATTGACACTCCACGAGGTGAGATCTTGCATGGTGCACCAGACCTAGGGAGACTGACAGGTGTTTTGAGTTTCTTCCATTTGCGAATGATTGCACCATCTGTTGTCACCTTCTCACCAAGCTGCTTAGCAATAGTTTGGTAGCCCAGTCCAGCCTTGTGTAGGTCTACAATCTTGTCCCTCACATCCTTGGACAGCTCTTTGGTCTTTTCCATGGTGGAGAGTTTGGAATCTGATTGTTTGATTGCTCCTGTGGACAGGTGTCTTTTATACAGGTAACAACATGAGATTAGCAGCACTCCCTTTAAGAGACTGCTTCTAATCTCAGCTTGTTACCTGTATGAAAGACACCTGGTAGCCAGAAATCCTGCTGAATGATAGAGGATCAAATACGGATTTCCCTCATGAACATGCAAATCAGTGCATAATTTGTTAGACATGCATTTCTTTTAAATTTTTTGTTGCTATTCTGTCTCTTAGTGTTACAATACACCTACCATTCAATTTTTAGACTGATCATTTCTTTGTGAGTGGGCAAATATTCAAAATCAGCAGGAGATCAAATACTTATTTCTTTCACTGTATTTGTTTGACAATTGCAATAATAGCTGTTCATCCAGCCAGAAATCTTGAGAACTGCTAACTTTCTGTGGTCTGTTGCTCGGTAGACAGTATCAGTTATCATTATTCCCAGCTATCTCTGTTGACTTCAAAACACCTCCCCCTATGTTATAGAGAAAGGGAGGTGTTATACATTTCTGTCCTAGGGCGACTACCCTGTTTCTTGTAAATAAAATTTAGTTGTCACCCTAGGACAGGAAGTGTGGTCCTGGTAGGATTCCCAGGTGAAGATAAAGAAGAAAAATACATTCATTATTATTATTATTATACAGTATTTATATAGCGCCAAAAGTTTGCTCAGCGCTGTACATTATAATGGGAGACAATACATGAGACAATACAGTAACAATACAATGCGATACACGAGGGGTTCGATGGCCCTGCTCCTTGGAGCTTACAATCTAGGATTATATTCAATTTTTGTTCTTGGGTCTAAACATGTTTTTAAAGCAGTAGCAGTCTCTGCTTTTTAACTTGTGCCTACAGGTAAGCCTATAATAAGGCTTACCTGTAGGTACAGTAAATGTTTCTTAAACTTGTGATGTTTAGGAGATATTCACACTGGAAGCAGCCAGTGACATCACCGGCACATGTGCATTGCACTCTGAATTGATGGCGTACTCAGTGTGCTGTCAATTCAGAGAGCAGCGCACATGTGACGGTGACATCACCGGCTGATTCTAGTGTGAATATCTCCTGTGAATATGCTGCGGCTGGGACTCCCGTGCTCATGCGTAGGAGTGATATCATTGCGACCCGACCATTCAAATGGCCGGAGCCCTCAAACCCAGAAGGAAGACCAGGTGAAGGTGGAAACCCTGTCAGTGATGACAGCGTGCCACTGAAGGACTTCGGTTTATAGTAAATTTGCCATAATGTGCTAGTATGTGATGCATGCTACTGGGATAGTCCCAAAAGTGCAAACGACCATCCTAGAGATAGGTGGTCACGGGATGACGGTGAGTGTCAGTCCATGTGGGGCACCAGTCTGAGCACAGTGAGGAACCTGTTGTATTGTACAAGGAGCTCACAATCAAGATTTTTAGCACCTTGCACCTTATTTTCACTTACTGGGACTGAATAATTATTAATACTATTAATATTGCTTTTCGCTCTCTTTATGTGCGGTCCATATGGTATTCACATTCAAATGTGAGGAAGTGGAAAACCCAGATACTCCTGCGCTTAGGGATGGACTCAATGTCATTAGGACCACATAACGAAATTCTTGGGATATGCACGCCTTGCTGCCCTCAAAAGACTGGGGGAGTCCAAATATACGGAATAGAGAAAAACAAACAGAGGACGCACCGGCCTAGTGCGTTACCTTAAAAATATGTTTATTAAATGTTAAAAGTAATTATTGTACTCACAGATTATCAATAAAATCAAAGGCACACTGTGAAGGAACAGCTCTGTCCAATTCGCACTGCGTGTCTGTCCGGAATGGGAACTGTGGACATTCAAAATACTGACGCATTTCGAGGACTAGCCTCTTCCTCAGAACCACTGTGACTCTGAGGAAGAGACTAGTCCTCGAAATGCTTCAGCCTTTTTTGGATGTCCAGAGTTCCCATTTAATAAACATATTTTTAAGGTAATGCCCAGAGGCTAATCCTCAAAACATGTCAGCCTTTTGGATGTCCAGAGTTCCCATTACGGACAGACACGCAGTGTGAATTGGACAAAGCTACCTACTTTTAACATTTAATAAACATATTTTTTTAAGGTAATGCACTAGGCCGGTGCGTCCTGTTTGTTTTTCTCTATTCACATTCAAATAAATGGGCTGCTGTGCTTGAGCAAATGTGGGCCGCACGGGCTTCAACAGTATGAACCAGGGGTGGACTGACAACTCATGGGGCCCCCGGGCAATAGGGGATCATGGGGCCCCTGTGTCCTTGCCCAAACTCAAAAAAGCCTATGAAAAAGGTACCAGGGACATCTCATGGGGCCCCCTACTGACCCCGGACCCTCGGGCAGTGCCTGAGTTTCCAAATGGTCAGTCCGCCCCTGGTATGAACTGAGGCTTATGGCACTGCCACAGGTCTGGAAAAGCGTTGTGTGTTACAGAAAAGCATACGATTTTGTGTGTGTGTTTCTTGAGGTAATTGTAGCCGTATTAGTGCATTTGCGACAGAAACAATTGAGTATTGACGTGATACTTTTTTTATTTGGATCAACATACAATTTTGAGGACAAGCTTTTGGGGAATGTCCCCTTCTTCAAGGTCCAGGCAGTACTACTTAAAGTTTTAGCAGAATGTTAGAAGAGATGTGGGGGATGAAAAAAAAAAAAAGACTAGAGATAAGACACAGCAAAAACAAAGACTGGGGGGGAGGAAACAACACTCAGAGAGGGGTCATAAAACTGTTGGATAATGATTGAGGAATCCCATGTCCAAATTAAGGCCTTTATCTCTTGTGTCGAATAGAATTATCATTCTTAGTTCAAAAGTTTTTCTTTCCTGAATAGATTTGAAATTTCCTTTAAGAACTAAAATATTGAGGTCTCCTAAAGTGTGGTCTGGTTGTGCGAAATGGTGTCCCACACCTCTTCTAACATTCTGCCAAAACTTTGTTAAGTAGTACAGCTTGGACCTTGAAGAAGGGGACATTCCCTGAAAGCTTGTCCTCAAAATTGTATGTTAGTGCAAATAAAAAAAGTATCACGTCAGAACTCAATTGTGTATGTTTCTGAATTGCAAAAATGTGAACCTAGCCTTAGTTTAGAAAAGACAATTAGTCTTATGCTATACCAAAGGGGATTTACTATTCTCATCACTGAGAGAGAGCGAGTAAAGGGTTGATCCACAATAAACTCTCTGCTAGTGTGGGAAAATCAGAGCAAATATGTATTGGCTGCAAGCTGCAATCCTTGGCTGAATGCCCCATATTCTGCTTCTTAGTCATGTGTTCAAGTGCTGCAAGTCACAGTCAAAGCCTTAGTGTGAACTTTAGTGTGGAGGATTTAAGATGCCTATTATCATCTGAACTCAAAATAATAATCAAAGCAGTTCTGAAATTTAGCAAAAAGGCAGAGTTGTTTTAAAAAGCTGTAAACTTTTAGGGGTTGATTTACTAAAGGCAAACAGACTGTGCACTCTGCATGTGCAGTTGCTCCAGGGCTTAGTAACTGAGGGCAAGCTTGCTGACTTTCATCCTCCAATCACCTGCAAGCAAAAATGCTTTTTTTTTTACATTTTCCTTGCATGTGATTGGGTATTCTTTGCAAAGTGAAGCTTCATCTCATTTATAAAACTCTGGAGCAACTGCACTTACAAAGTGCACAGTCTATTTGCTGTTACTATCAGCTGAATGTTAGTTTTCAGTTCTCAGCCAGTGCTAGAAAAGTGACAGCTACTTTACTTCCATATAATTTTTACAATATAAATTTTCAGAGGCTATTAATGGCGTGAAAATGTTTTGACTCCTGGTGCATCATCTCCCAAATGTTCTAAAGAAAATACCATGCTGTTACTAAAGTACAGTGGATATAAAAAGTCTACACACCCCTGTTAAAATGTCAGGTTTCTGTGATGTAAAAAAATGAGACAAAGAGAAATAATTTCAGAACTTTTTCCACCTTTAATGTAACCTATAAAGTGTACAACTCAATTGAACAACAAATTGAAATCTTTTAGGTGGAAGTAAAAATAAAAAACTATTTATATGGTTGCATAAGTATGCACACCCTTAAATAATACTTTGTTGAAGCACCTTTTGATTTGATTCCAGCACTCAGTCTATTTGGGTATGAGTCTATCAGCATTGAACATCTTGATTTAGCAATATTTTCCCACTCTTCCTTGTAAAAACACTCCAAATCTGTCAGATTGCGAGGGCATCTCCAGTGCACAGCCCTCTTCAGATCACTCCACAGATTTGTAATCTGATTCAGGTCTGGGCTCTGGCTAAGCCATTCCAAAACTTTAAATTTCTTCTGGTGAAGACATTCCTCTTCATGTTCAGCTTTCTAGCAAATGCCTGAAGGTTTTCTGCCAATATTGACTGGTATTTGGAACTGTTCATAATTCCCTCTACCTTGACTAAGGCCTCAGTTGCAGCTGAAGAAAAACAGCCCCAAAGCATGATGTTGCCACCACCATGCTTCACTGTGGGTATGGTGTTCTTTTGGTGATGTGCAGTGTTGTTTTTGCACCAAACATACAGTATCTTTTGGTATTATAGCCCAAAAAGTTCAACCTGGTTTCATCAGACCATAACACATTCTTCCACATGTTTTTGGGAGATGTCAGGTGTCTTTTTGCAAAATTTAGCCGGGCTTGGATGTTTTTCTTCATAAGAAAAAGGCTTCCATCTTGCCACTCTACCCCATAGCCCAGATATATGAAGAATATGGGAGATTGTTGTCACATGTACCACACAGCTTGACAAATATTCCTGTAGCTCCTTTAATGTTGCTGTAGTCGTCTTGGCAGCCTCCCAGACCAGTTTTGTTCTTGTCTTTCCATCAATTTTGAAGGGAAGTCCAGTTCTTGGTAATGTCACTGTTGCGCCATAATTTCTCCACTCCATGATGACTGTCTTCACTGTGTTCCATAAAATAACTAATGCCTTGGAAATTATTTTGTACCCTTCTCCTGATACCTTTGAACAATGAGATCCCTCTGATGCTTTGGAAGTTCTCTGCGGACCATGGCTTTTGCTGTAGGATGCGACTAAGAAAATGTCAGGAAAGACCTACTAGAACAGCTGAACTTTATTTGGGGTTAATCAGAACCACTTTAAATGATGGCAGGTGTGTATTAACTCCTATTTAACATGATTTTGAACGTGATTGCTTAATTCTCAACACAGCTACATCGCCAGTTATAAGAGGGTGTGCACACTTATGCAACCGCATTATTTTAGTTTTTTTTATGTTTACCCCCCTTAAAAGATTTCAGGTTTTTTTTTTAATTGAGTTGTACAGTTTATAGGTTACATTAAAGGTGTAAAAAGTTCTGAAATTATTTATCTTTGTCTAATTGTTTTACAGTGGGGCAAAAAAGTATTTAGTCAGCCACCAATTGTGCAAGTTCTCCCACTTAAAAAGATGAGAGAGGCCTGTAATTGGCATCATAGGTAGACCTCAACTATGAGAGGCAAAATGAGAAAAAAAAAATCCAGACAATCACATTGGCTGATTTGGAAAGAATTTATTTGCAAATTATGGTGGAAAATAAGTATTTGGTCAATATCAAAAGTTCATCTCAATACTTTGTTATATACCCTTTGTTGGCAATGACAGAGGTCAAACGTTTCCTGTAAGTCTTCACAAGGTTGGCACACACTGTTGCTGGTATGTTGGCCCATTCCTACATGCAGATCTCCTCTAGAGCAGTGATGTTTTGGGGCTGTCACTGGGCAACACGGACTTTCAACTCCCTCCAAAGGTTTTCTATGGGGTTGAGATCTGGAGACTGGCTAGGCCACTCCAGGACCTTGAAATGCTTCTTACGAAGCCACTCCTTCGTTGCCCGGGCGGTATGTTTGGGATCATTGTCATGTTGGAAGACCCAGCCACGTTTCATCTTCAATGCCCTTGCTGATGGAAAGAGGTTTGCACTCAAAATCTCACGATACATGGCCCCATTCATTCTGTCCTGTACATGGATCAGTCGTCCTGGTCCCTTTGCGGAGAAGCAGCCCCATAGCATGATGTTGCCACCCCCCCATGCTTCACAGTAGGTATGGTGTTCTTTGGATGCAACTCAGCATTCTCTCTCCTCCAAACACGACGAGTTGTGTTTCTACCAAACAGTTCTATTTTGGTTTCATCTGACCATATGACATTCTCCCAATCCTCTTCTGGATCATCCAAATGCTGTCTAGCAAACTTCAGACGGGCTCGGACATGTACTGGCTTAAGCAGGGGGACACGTCTGGCACTGCAGGATCTGAGTCCCTGGCGGCGTAGGGTGTTACTGGTGGTAGCCTTTGTTACGTTAGTCCCAGCTCTCTGCAGGTCATTCACTAGGTCCCCTCGTGTGGTCTTGGGATTTTTGCTCACCGTTCTTGTGATCATTTTGACCCCACGGGGTGAGATCTTGCGTGGAGCCCCAGATCGAGGGAGATTATCAGTGGTCTTGTATGTCTTCCATTTTCTAATTATTGCTCCCACAGTTGATTTGTTCACACCAAGCTGCTTGCCTATTGCAGATTCAGTCTTCCCAGCCTGGTGCAGGTCTACAATTTTGTTTCTGGTGTCCTTCGACAGCTCTTTGGTCTTCACCATAGTGGAGTTTGGAGTGTGACTGTTTGAGGTTGTGGACAGGTGTCTTTTATACTGATAACAAGTTCAAACAGGTGCCATTGATACAGGTAATGAGTGCAGGACAGAGGAGCCTCTTAAAGAAGAAGGTACAGGTCTGTGAGAGCCAGAAATCTTGCTTGTTTGTCGGTGACCAAATACTTATTTTCCACCATAATTTGCCATTAAATTCTTTCCAAATCAGCCAATTTGATTGTCTGGATTTTTTTTCTCATTTTGTCTCACATAGTTGAGGTCTACCTATGATGCCAATTACAGGCCTCTCTCATCTTTTTAAGTGGGAGAACCTGCACAATTGGTGGCTGACTAAATACTTTTTTGCCCCACTGTACATAACAGAAACCTGATATTTTAAAAGGGCTGTGTAGACTTTATATCCACTGTATATTTTCTTCCTCCATACTCCACACCTGTGAACTGAAAAATACTACCCTCAATTTTGTGAAAGGGGGCTGTGTTCTTATCACACACAGCCAGTAGACAGGTGGCAGGTTGACTAAAGGAAGGGGTTTGTAAATGCAGGATAGAATGCTTGGGGATGAGGTGATCAGCTATGCCCTATGAAAAATGTTGGCTTCAATGGAAATACAGAATTGCATAGTCCCTGCGATGCTGGTATTTCACTTTCTGCGGAATCCATAGTAGCCATGCCGCTCCAAACTTACCTTCTTACCTGTACTTCCAGCTCCCATCAGATGCACACCCAACAGCGCATTCCTGCTCTGCTGTCCCACACATGAAATAGAAATTAATGGGCC